GACAGAGTGAGACTCCAACTCAAAAAAAAAAAAAGGGATACTGCCAGAGTGTGCAACCAAAATACTTATCATTTAATTTTTTTTTTTTTTTGAGTCAGGGACTCACTCTGTCTCCCAGGCTGGCTGGAGTACAGCTCACTGCAGCCTTGACTTCCTGGGCTCAGGTGATCCTCCTGCCTCAGCCTCCTGAGTAGCTGAGACTACAGGTGCGTGTCACCACACCCGGTTAATTTTTTTCTTTGAGTTGGAGTCCCACTCTGTCATCCAGGCTGGAGTGCAGTGGCCTCTGCAGCCTCCACCTGCTGGGCTTAGGTGATCCCTTCTGCCTCAGCTTTCCAAGTAGCTGGAACCACATGCATGCGCCACCTTGCCTGGCTAATTTTTTAATTTATTGTAGAGTCGAAGTCTCACCAAATTGCCCGGGCTAGTCTCGAACCCCATGGACTCAGGCAATCCTCTCGCCTCTGCCTCTCAAAGTGCTGGGATTACAGGCATGAACCACCATGCCTAGCCTGGCTAATTTTTAAAAACTTTTTGTAGAGACAAGGTCTCAGTATGTTGTGTAGGCTGGTCTCGAACTCCCGGGCTCAAGCAATCTTCCTGCCTTGACCTCCCAAAGTGCTGGGATTATAGGCATGAGCCACTGCACCTGGTCTCATTTAATTTTTATTGAAAAGAAAGCACTGCTCCTTCACAGGAATCCCAGGGTACCCAACTGTTATGGACTTCATTGTTTCTCCCCCCAAATTCATATGTTGAAGCCTTGATCCCTAAAGTGACTGTACTTGGAGACAGGGCCTTAGGTTAAAGGAAATTATAAGGATGAGGCCCTAATCTGAAAGGACTTGTGTTCTTTTTTGTTTTTTTTTTTGAGTTGGAGTCTCACTCAGTCGCCCAGACTGGAGTGCAGTGGCCGCTCCCGGCCACCGCAGCCTCGACCTGCTGGGCTCCGGCGATCCTTCCGCCTCAGCCTTCCGAGTAGCCGGAACTACAGGCGCGCGCGACCACGCCCAGCTGATTTTTTGATTTTTTGTAGAGATGAGGTCTCGCTGCCCAGGCGGGTCTCGAACCCGCCACTCACCTCAGCCTCCCAGAGGCGCGGGATTCCAGGCTGAGCCACCGAGCCCGGCTGACGTGTGTCCTTCCAAGGAGAGGAAGAAGGGGCACGAGAGATCACCCTTCTGCAAATGTACTCCGAGGAGAGGCCACACGAGGGCTCATGAGAAGGTGGCTGTCTGCAAGCCAGCGAGGGAGGCCTTACCAGAAACCAACCTTGCAGCATCTTGATCTCGGACTTGCAGTTTCTGGAGCCAGATAAACAAAATTGTTGTTTAACCCCTGCAGTCGTGGTACTTTATGATGGCAGCCCTGAAGACTAATCCCCAGTGTCTGCACCTGCACAATGCCTGTCACATGTAAGAGCTCAGTAGGTATTTCCTCAGAAGGGAGGTCGTGGCAGGGGTCCTGAGGGCGGGGCCTGCAGAACACCTTGCCCTGAGTTACTGCACTACACTTCACCAGAGCCACCTCAGACAACAAAGCCACCCTGGGGTTAGCATCATTCCCAGCTGAGTGATCATCCATTTTCTCCTTGGACAGATGGCTACATTGGTAAGAAATACCTGTCCACAGCTGGGGGCCCAAATGGCGAGGGAAGCAGAGGGATCCGCAGTTGTCCCGACGCTGTCAACAAAGGATTCGCAGCCATCGCAGGGTTTGTCATCAATATCCCTTGCCACCGATGGAGTTCTGGAAAGAACCGGATAAACACAAGAACGACTCTACTTTTTGGGGACTGTTTGGATTCTTAAACACAGTGAAAGCCCTTTGTGTTTTCCCAACACTTGGGAAGACTGTCTACACCAAGCCCTCAGCTACACGGAAACCCCAGCTGTTAAGCAAAACTCTGTGTTTTATCAACAGCCCTTGGAATTTCTTTCGGAGTCTGCAGGTAATACCACACCACTCTCCAAGCAATAATAAAATTAAACCAGCCTTGCAAGATTCCAGAAATACCAACTTCCTTTCTTACAATTTATTTTGATTCTTATATTTTCAGAGGTGCAAATGCATAAATTCTCCTTTATGCTCAATCTCTGGAGAAACATTTCTACCTAGTTGATGAGATGAAAACAGAAAATGAGAGAAGAGAATCTTCTTAATGGCTAAAAATATATCTAATTAGTGCAGATATAGGCTGACTGTCTGAGACTGTATCTAATTAGAACAAGTGGCCAAATTATATCCAAGCTGACATAAACACAAGGATTCATGTATTTTCTCTTCAGAACCCAGTGGTCAGAAAAAGAGACTATTGCTAAAGGGACAACATTTGCCTGCCATTTTCGTGTTAATTATTAGTATCCTTTGAATAGTTTTTTTGTAGCGATAAGGTCTCGCTATGTTTCCTGGACTAGTTTCCAACCCCTGGACTCAAGTAATCCTCCTGCCTCAGCCTCCCAAAGTGCTGGGATGACAGGCCCGAACCACTGTGCCTGGTTTCCTGTGAATAATTTTAAATACTCAACAAGTACAAGTCAAACAAATCATTTTAGTTTCTCCTTCACCCTCCACTGTCACTTAAAAAAAAAATCTGAGATACCTACCACTATGCCTGAAGAAAAAGGAAATGCTCTGCTTTTTTTTTTTTTTTTTTTTGGAGTTGGAGTCTCACTCTGTTGCCCAGGCTGGAATGCCGTAGCAGGCTCATGGCCACCACACCACAGCCTCAACCTGCTGGTCTCAGGCGATCCTTTCTCCTCAACCTTCTAAGTAGTTGGAACTACAGGCACGCACTACCACGCCTGGCTAATTTTTTAATTTACTGTAGAGACAAGGTCTTGCCAAGTTGCCCAGGCTGACTCAGGCAGTCCTCTCACCTAGGCCTCCCAAAGTGCTGGGATGACAGGCTTGAGCCACCATACCCAGTCTGCTGTACTGAAAGAAAGCAGTGATCTTTCTTTCCTTCCTTTTTTCTCCCCTTCCTTGTGTGTATATTTGATTTAAATTTTTTTTTTTTTGAGTTGGAGTCTCACTCTGTCGCCCAGACTGGAGTGCAGTGGCCGCTCCCAGCCACTGCAGCCTTGACCCGCTGGGCTCCGGTGATCCTTCCGCCTCAGCCTTCCATGATTGAATTTTTTAAATGGTTAATTCATTCACATGGTTCAAAACCAAAAATATGATGGTCTTTAAGATGCAATCACTTCTTTAGCCTCTTTTTCAGACCTGACCCTACTGATTAGATTGGACATTCGAGCCCTAACATTGGTTTTTTGCCATATATATATGCTCTCTGTCTTTCTCACTCACTCTCTCTCTCTCTCTTGCGAGAGAGAGAGGTTCTCTATCTCCATTGATTTTCACTGTATTTCTGTATTTCTGTGAGGTCTGTATAGTGGCCTTAGAGAGTTTACCCAGGATTAGAATGAAAATGCCTGCTGGGAGCCTGCAGGTATGGAGCAGCCAGGAGGACAGGCCGGTCAGGAGTGGGCTGGCCTGGGCTCTGGTGACGACACTACCTGCGGCCTGAATCCACGGAGACTGGCGCACAGCCACCCCCTTCCTCCAGACCAGCACACGTTGGACAGAATTTTTCTCTTGAAAAATTGTTGGATTTTGATTTCCGTCTTGAGCTGATGGTCTCTAGCAGAACTTTGAACCTATCCGTGAGTGGGAGAGACTTTCTGAAGTTTTGAAATGGAGCTCCAGAGGCATTATGCCGCATAGACACCATCTAGAACTTACTCTTCTTGTATAAACGTCACTTCATACTCATCGAACACCTCCTCATTTTCTCCACCTCACACCCTGGGGTGGGCACTACTGTCGTCTCTGCTTCTGAGTTGGACCCTCTTAGATACCTCACAGAAGTTGAGTTGGGCCATATTTGTCCTGCTGTGACAGACCTTTTCACTTAGCATAATGTCCCCCGGGTTTATCCACTGTGCAGGCCAGTCTTTGCTAAGAGGGTAGATCTCGTGTTAAGTGTTCTCACCACAAAAACAGCAAGCAAAGGGACACAGGAAACTTTGGGACGGGCTGGAGATGCTTGTTACCATGATAGTCATGATGGTTTCATGGGTGTACGCAGATGTCCATACCCGTCAAATGGTGTACATAAAATATGTGTCCTTCTCTTATATAATTACTCCTCAATAAGGTTGTTTAAAAGCATGTAGTGCTCAGCTAGCCTTTGACATGCTGTCTGAGACAACCTGGGGGCAAGAGGTCTGTCTAGTGGCCTCAGAGAGTTTAGCCAGAATGAAAAAAGGACAGGAGAGAAAGGGAGAAGAAGGGAAGGCCTGCTTGGAGGTCGATGCCTCGCCCCTCATGGCGCTGCCTTCAGGCAGGGACTCACGTACAGGAAGCCCACATGAGTGTGCAGAAAGTGAGATCAGAAGGGAAAAGCCAGCAAGATGTGAGTTAACATGCGGGCTACTTTCCCGTGAGTGGCTGGTAGGTAACCCTGCCGGGGACCCCTAAGGAACTTTGCTGTGTGACCTCAGAGTCGTCCCCAGGGAGGCCAAAGGGTTGAGGCCACTTCTCCATCACACCTGGGTCGGGCGTGGCCTAGAGACAAGCTCCTTCCTGTGGTGCAGGAGAAACCCTCTAGTCTGAGAGCCAGACGCAGATGCTCAAGGCTGGAAGGACCCCCGGGGCTGGAGGTGAACACACAAGGCGGCAGCGGGCCCCATGTGGTTGACAGAAGGCGGTTACCTTCTAACGCCATCCCACCAGACAACGGACACGGATGCCTTTCTTCTGCAGTTCCGGGTTCACCAGGCACGGAGATATTTCGATGAGGCTCTGCAGCGTCCATTGTCTGCAACAGAACAGTAGGGCTCTTTCACCAATGGTCACAGCTTCAGCAAAGGCAGTGGGGACTCCAGGCTATCGGACTGACAAGACAGGGGGCCTCAGCCCGTGAGACAAGTCTCATCTAGTTTACCACCGAAGTCATTCTTGGCACTATCTCTGTTCTTGGGTCTGAATTTCTTTCCTTTTTTAATGCCAGAGGGGCTGAAACTAATCTATAAAATTTTGTTATATTTTCAACATGGCAGTTTATTGTTTTTTCATCAATCCACCAAATTTTTATCTAAAATGCAAGCGATTCCCCGTGTCTGCAGACATGTTCGTATGTCTTGGAAGTGCCTGGGAGGACGGCGTGTCGCTGACATCTGAAGGACCTTCGTGCTACAGTTCTGGGATCCACTTGGCTTCCCTGGTTTCTTTTCATCCTCACACTTGTGAACTCTAGTACTTAGCACTAGCGCATCTATTGATGGACAGGTTTTCTTTAAAAAACCATTGCCTTGTTTTGTGTTATGCCTCTTATCATTTGTATGCCCTAGATTGTACATTTTTTATTTTTGTTTTTTAGAGCAGGTTTAGGTTCCCGGCAAAGCTGAGTGGACGGTACAGAGTTCCTGTCCACTCCCCGCACCACACACGCACAGTCTCCCCACGGTCACCATCTTGCACCAGAGTGTTTGTCTGTTATCGCTGATGACCCCACTTGACACATCATCACCACCCAAGCCCACAGACCACATCTGGGTTCACTCTTGGTCTTGTCCAGTCTATGCTTTGGATACATGTCGCATGGTGTGATCTGTCATCATGGCATCATACAGAATGGTTTCAGCCCTAAAACAAATTATGTGGTGAAAGGACATAACCTGTAGTTAATATAGCCAAAGAGCAGCCATTTTAACACTGCCTAGCTGTCATGTTTCTCTAGCAGTTCACTTTAATTTGCCCTCTAATCCACTAGCCAAGAACAGAATCGGTTTCTCAGAGGTAGCTAATTTTTTTTTTTGAGTTGGAGTCTCACTCTGTCACCCAGACTGGAGTGCAGTGGCAGGCTCACGGCCATCGCAGCCTCAACCTGCTGGGCTCAGCCGATCTGTCCACCTCAGCCTTCCAAGTAGCTGGAACTAGAGGCATGCACTACCATGCCCAGCTAATTTTTTAATTTAATGTAGAGATGAGGTCTCACCAACTTGTCCGGGCTGGTCGTGAACCCCTGGACTCAGGCAATCCTCTCGCCCTGGCCTCCCAAAGTGCTGGAATGACAGGCTTGAGCCACTGCACCTGCCAGAGGTAGCTACTGATCGTTGCCTTCCAACCCCCTCCCCAGCTTGTTTGGTAAACAAATTCAAGACCTTCATGACACAGAGACCATCAACATGGCAGCAATCATGTGACTGACCCAGCCATCTGCCTGCCCTCTATCATGTGACGTCAGCACCTGTGCTCACCTGCCCTCAGTGATGACGTGACGCAGACTACCACACCACCACCTTCACGACCTGCCTCCGTCTAGGGAATATCTGAAAGCCATCAACCCCAAGGAGCCATTCGCCATTGTTTTACTAAGCTCTGGTGTGGCCACGTGTTCACTGAGTCATGGGCAGGTCATGCTTTCCTAAGCTGTGGCCCCCTCCCCTACCTTGGGGAGGTGAATCTCCTCTTTCTTCTCTCTCTCTGTCTCATTTACTTTCTAAATAGACTATATTTTCTGTTTTTTTTTTTTTTGAGTTGGAGTCTCACTCTGTCGCCCAGACTGGAGTGCAGTGGCCGCTCCCGGCCACCGCAGCCTCGACCTGCCGGGCTCCGGAGATCCTTCCGCCTCAGCCTTCCGAGTAGCCGGAATTACAGGCAGGCGCTACCACGCCCGGCTGATTTTTTGATTTATTGTAGAGA